AACGTGATGAATATGCTGTTTATGGGAAACATATTGCTAATAAACTTAAAAACAACGGTAGATCAAATTTGATAATATCTGCTTTAAGTTATTGATGGGTAAATTTTGTAATATACGTTCAACTGCATCATCCTCTGCAGCAAGTTTAGTCATTGTATTGGTTCCCCACAACTTAGCATTTAGTCATCCCTCTAGTGACATCGCCATCGCCCCAACTTGCTTTAGTATCAAAGTCTACAGCACTATCTTATGACACTACAAAATTGCAACAATCTAAGAGTTTACTCTGTATTTTATCGCAAGAAATAGCAAACAGTAACTTTGTGCAAGATAATTGTCAAGCGCAGGCTCAATGGGTATATGAAAATGAAAAAGAGTATGCCAATAATATTCATCTACATCAATCCACACATTTAAAACAATCCAATGGAGTAGAAAATCTAAGAATGTTTTATAATATTAATAACTTTATAGATCTTTAGATGTCTAGTTTATTTAGTCGCTAAAATGTTATTTTGATTTTTATAAAGTTTTGATCATATACCTCGTAATTTATTTGGCAATTTGCTCCAATATTTAAGGAGAACTTGAGTTAAGTTTTAATTTGACCACACATGGCATATGCATGTTAAAATAATTGTAGAGTCATGTGACAGTAAAGGTAAGCAGAGTTTGGATTTACTTAAATGTACAACAACATAGACAATAATTTTTAATTTTCCTATTTACGGGTTCATAAGTCAAAAAAAAGAATGATTGCATTCTATTTAAACAAATAAAATTAATTTTTATGTATACCTACTTTTATATATGGTTTTAAAGCTATTTAAATGGCATTGTACACAACAGGTACTATTTCTGATATTGACTGTTGAAATTAGAAGTGTGTACATCGAACTAGTATATTAATCACCACTTGCCAGATATCTAAGAGTTATTGCTAACTGCAATGTAACAGGGATGATTGCTCTGTATTTTGTATCTTGTTTACAAATTTTTGGGTCAATCATTTGAATTATTATCTCAAAATCAGTTGGAGTCATTCTAACAAACTTTTTAAATTCAGATCCATAATTAAATTTTAGGTCTCTTAATAAGTTCGAAAAATATTCTATTCCATTTTGCAGGCGTTGACGTACCCACCAACATTTTTTTTTTCTTTTATTTTGTGACGTAAAATTTAATATATGTCCAACACAAATGCCCGCCACTGTATCATTATTCACCGACATGTTTTTGTCTTTAGTCTGGACTCAATTGCTACCTCGTTTATACCAATGTTTACTGAAAACAAAACACCATACACACGTGTATAAATGTTTTGTTTGCAGGCAAATGTTTCCAAACATTTGTTCGTGGGCAGTCTATGTAGGTCTTAACTAGGCTTAAGAATCTAAATGGCTTGGTAGCGTCATCATCCCCGTTCGTTAGTTTTGACCAATCATTCTTTCATTGCAGCGATTCGGATATCACGTGCGGTTACCTATTGTTATCTATTGGTTTTTGGAGGTGAACTCTATCGCTGACAAGAAAGGGTGACGTTATAATCTGGTGGGTTTTAGAACAATCGAGACAAAGCCAGAGACGGTGCTAGGCATAATGTAGAAATATTTGAACATCAAATATCAGCCGTTTTATAATACTAGGTATTTTATAGCCAATTAAAATCAGTTGTAACAGTAAGTGTCTCGTTAGTGGGAGGGCAACGGATACCTATTCGTGCCACTAATAGTAATTGGTACCTTATCTTTCAATCGTTTCGTTCCTCTATCCTTATTGCCTGGAAGTTTACTTGCACTTATGTCTTTATATACCTTGTGCCTACCATCTTAATATATAAATTATAGTTTGTTGATTTCCACGTTTATAAGTTGCTTCACGCTACTGTATGAAGAATTTTATATAATTTCAATTTTTAACATTTAATACCATCTAAGTAATACACCAACCGCTTTTGTATCTTTTGCCACTAATTAGATTTTGTATTGCAGACCTGATGATGCCTTTCCGAGGCCAAAACTAGTTGCGCTACATTGTATTTTTATATTTATTATATTGTGGTATCGATTTTGAGTAGTTTTATTCTTATTGAATACATGACTACATTTGAGAAAAATAGAAAATCAGTATATATACATAGAAGATGTAGAGATGTAAATAATGTGGAAGATGTAGAATCAGAAATCGAATAACCAATTGAAGTACGACAATAGGAAGATACAAATGAATTTAAAGTGAAGAAATTTTCTAAAAATGGACATCCTGTATAAAGACTACTACACGTGAGCGGTCAACAAACAAAATTAGATTATTTTATCCCCCTTTGGAAACAATCAATTCTAGTCTTGTCGAAACAGGAATAACTTGCGTAAAGGCTAAACTAAATTTTGCTTTCTATTATTATTAAAATGATATTTGTGTGTTGTAAGGGATTGAAAGTAGTTTTGGAATTGCGGAACTTTAGATTAAATTGTCAACCAAATCATAAAATAACAGATCCAGAATGGAAATACAGTAATTGTCTGGGTTATCTTTACAATTAAATCCATTTAGTGAGGGCTTCGAAGTTAATGAGTGGAAATAATAATGGGTATTCTAAAGAGATACCTCCCCATTATAAGAAAGAAAATTGTACAACTATAAAAATCTTACATTAAAAGTAAAGTCAAAACAAACATTAAATTTCATTGTAGAAAATACTTGTTGATATTAAGGAGGTCCTTTCTCCACCCCTTTTGCCACCAATGTTAAATAAAAAATATTAGATTATGAGTAAAATTTATTTTTTTTCTAATAGTTGAAGTCCTTATTTATCTAATGTTGAACTTTTAACTATACCTTACCGTGCAAATTTTTGAGATTTGTTTTTTTAAACATGTGAGTATTTGTACAGTGTCTTATGAGAAAATAAGACCTCAACAACAATTCTCGAATTATATTATTATTTATTGATTAGATGGAGTAAAAAAAAACTAAAAATAGGGTTTTTGGAATATTTAGGTTTTGTTTTTTAAAATAAAATATATAGGTTACCTTAAAAAAATTTGAAGTTACCTAGTTGAAAATTTTTTGTGATTTTTTAATATTAATTTCTCAATAAATTCCACGGTAACCTATATATTTTATTGTAAAAAACAAAACCTAAATATTTCGAAAACCTTATTTTTAGTTTTTTTCTACTCCATCTAATTAATAAATAATAGTAAAATTAGTTATAATTCGAAAATTGTACTTTCTCATAAGACACTGTACAAACACACACATTTAAAAAAAAAATTTCTCAAAAATTTGCACGGTAAGGTATAGTTAAACGTTTACTATTAGATAAATAAGGACTTCTACTATTAGAAAAAAATTAATTTTAGTCATAATCTAATATTTTTTATTTAACATTGGTGGCGAAAGGACCTCCTTAATAATAATAATAGTAAATCAATCACCTAGGTAAAAATAAAGAAAAATTTCAAGTAGTTATGAAAAATTTAGGAAGCTATTTAAAATAGAATCGATACACTTGAAAATAATATTAGATTTTAGGATATTTTATATCACAATTGATATAGATTGTTAAATGGCGATTTCTTTTATAGATAGTTTAGAAAATGCTACAACCTTTGTAAAACTAAATACTTTTTATAAATCTATTGATATGAATTTAAGAATTTAGATGTATAATTTATTTTTAATACCCAGTATAGCTAGCTCAGTAATTATATAACTTTATTAGATGATGAATATTTGTATTAGCATTTTGGGTTGGGTTCTCTTACTTGTATTTCTCACTATCAATAATTTAGATAATCAAAAGAAAAGAAAAATAAATAAAAAAAAATAAACTCACCTACGAAATTTCTATAACTTTTTACTTCCAAATATCAATTTACCTATTCCCTCTATTTTTGATTTGATCACACTGTATTGTAATTTTGATTCTAAAAAATAGTAACAAAAATATTAATTTACAATATTAATTTTCTTATCCGGTTCTTCTTTTTCTTCTCTTCCTTGTCTGCCCGTTTAGTTTACACGTTCTTTTCTCTACTATTCTATTTTTGCTCCTACCGTTCTGTCTCCTGCCTTATTACTTCTTGTGTGCTGTCCTCTAGCGTCTCTGCTTGTCTCTGCTTGTCTCCGCTTATCTCTGCTTGTCTCTGCTAGTCTCTTTTGTATCTGCTTGTCTCTGCTTATCTCTACTTATTTCTGCCTGTCTCTGCTTATCTCTACTCATTTCTGCTTGTCTCTGCTTTGAATTTACTTTTCTCTGCTTTATGCTATTATAAATAAAACTTATATACCTTCTTTTTAAATTTTCTACTTTATTCATATAACCAATTTCAGTACATTTCAATAATCCATGATTATTTTTCAGTAACTTTACATTCAATGATCAGTCTTTTTAACATTCCACTCCCCCTCTGACAGTTTTCATCCCCACTGACAATCAATAAAAAATCTTCCTCATCCTTCAAAATTGACTTTCCCCCGAAACATTGATTTTCATTTCTATTTTCAAAACCAAACATAGAGTGTTTAATTTTTAGTTAACCAAATTACGTCATAAATCCCCCAAAATTTTGTATTCAACTAATTTATTTCCAAATAAATTATTGAATATCAAATTTTCAAATGACCAAAATTTTTCTTTTCCCCCATTTTATCCAAATTATTGATATCTAACATTCCATATTCACTCATATTCTCATTCTTACAACAACAAAAATAACAATAGCAAATTAAAACAAAATTCAATTCAATTTCAAATTAAAATTATACAACTTCTTGCAACAAATAATGAAATGAAGTTAAATTTAACATTTTTAACAGAATCATAATTAACAAAATGTAACATTAAAATCTTTTTAACTCTATTTCAGAACTTTGCAATTGTAATTATATAATAAAACGAAATAAAATTTAATATATTTAACAAATTTATATTTTCTTAATCTCTTTATTGCAATACCACAGCAGAGGAAGTCCAGTTAACATATTTCTAATAATCAATTTTTTTTTACTAACTCTCTGAAATTTTTGAGTTTGTTTTGCACTATTGTTACAAAAACTTCAGGATGAATGTTGTTTATATTTCTATCAAACTTAATCCCCTCATAAATGTAATTAGGTACTACAGTTAAACTTTCTCTTGAATTTTGTCTAAAACTTTCCTTCATTCTTAAAATTTCCTCTGTCGTGTTTTGCATTTTCCTCTTCACCTCCTCTATTTCCCTCCTAAAATTTATTTCTCCTATCTCAGAACTTTTAATACAACTTATTAATTGTTCCTCTACTGTCCCGTTCAATTTTTCTATCTCCTTGTCAACATTTTCTTTCAAATTATGTATGACCTCTTCATGTACCTGTCTCTGTAACTTTATGTGTCTAATTTCCCTATTCAACATATCAGTCTGTTTAGTCACCTCTATTTGAATCGCCCCTAGCAAATTTTCCTCAATATTTCTTTTTAACTCACTAACCTTTTCTTTTACATCTTTTCCTATCTCCAACCTAAGATTTACCCCTTCTTTGTCTATTTCTGCCCGTAACTTTTTATTTTGCTCCTTAACCTCTTCTCTGACTTGAGTAATCTGAATTCTAAACTCCTCATTCTCTTGCCTAATTTTTTTTTATTTCGGTTAAGCTTTCTATTTTCACTTCATCTATTTTCCTCTCCAAATTTTCCCTCATATTATTCATCTCCCCCTTAATATTTTCATTCATAAAAATCAGCTGCTGCATAATCTCAAACATTCCTACCTGTTTACAGGGAACCTGTAGAAAATGAGGAACAACTCTGGCAACGTATTCAAGATGCAATAAACAATCTTAGAGGTGATAAAGAAGTTATGGAAAGGATACATTTTAATTTTCTTCGACGTATAAATCTTTGTGTGCGTGAAAATGGTGAACATTTTGAACAATTTTTGTAAAATCTCTATTTTGATTATGTTGTAAATAAATATTTTTGTGAAACCTATACACTCTAAATTATTAAAACAGAAATTTAGCGAAAACCATGAGAGTAATCAAGTCTTATCAAGAGCTTTTTTTCTAAAGTAAATGAGTTGCGCAATCTAAATTTCATACTCAAACTCCTTTTCTTCCATTGGCGTAGAATTTTTAAAGGTGCAATTATTTAAAAAATCAAGTTCTACGCCTATGTATTATTATCGGACAAAATTTTAATACCATTTTTTTGCCACATAAAACTCTACCAATATACCAAATTTCAGCAAAATTGCATATGCCGTTTTAAATTTATATGGGAAAAACGATTTAAAAATTGTAACTTCAAGGCCCTCTGGAGCCCAAACGAGGCAACTTTGTACTAAGGTAATTTTACTTAAATCGACTTATTTTGGTCTAAGGAATATGTGGTATGTTTTTGTAAAGACCTTTTACAGACACCTTGTATAACAATCTTATACATAGTAAAATGTGTATAATTTCCTTAGCCACTCTAGATTTATAATGAACCTAAACAACATGTATTAAAATATTCTTCAGAAACGCCTTTTTGTTAGATTTTTTAAGCAATTGATCTAGGTCTAAGCAAAACTTTGATATTCTACTGTTTAAAAGAATTTGTTAAATTATTGATATAGTTTTTGTAGTGTATTCAGACATAGGATTAAAGCTCGAGGTAGTTGAACCGAAAGATTGAATTAAATCGTACAGCAGCAAATACACAACTCTACGTTATCTTTGTTCGATTTAAGCCCTTGTCGACGACGAGTAATTGCTCAAAGGATCTTCACTATTCCTAGCTTATTTTCTGTTTTTCAGGCACTCGAAGCTACTGCCGAGAGTGTAATGAAATTTACCCAACTCCCACTTGATGAGTCAAAGCATGCTACACAAATATTTACTTTGGATATGTCAACATACTCTATAATAAACTTAGCACAATAAACTTTTGCAATAAAAATGCAATACTTGTTTCTCCTTTGTTCAAGGAATTTATAAAATATAAATTTTTCTAGAACATATTTGGCTATCATTTAACTTTTAAAGATAATATTAGATTTTGTAATACCGGCAACATTAAAAGTATAGTAAAATTTGCATACCTGTTGATGTTGGTTTGTATAGGTACAAAAATGGTGTTTTTATCATTTTAAATAAAAGACTGATAATTAGGTACACACCACAAACACTAGGTGAATAAAATATTTTAGTTTTCACCCATTTTCGTTTCATCTCATGATTTAAGTACTACTTACTGTGTCGGAAATAATATTTTTCTACGACAACACGTATATTATTTACTTAATTCACAAACTGCAGAATGAATGTGTAGAACCATAGAAAAATAAATAAAGAAGGTTTGAATAAATGGCGGGACTTGTTTCCTTGTTGGTAGTTGAACCGTAAGCGCTTAGCGCGCTGTTATCACTAAATTCAAACCCGTTTTACACCCATAAAAAAATAGGTTTTTAAAAATAATGACAAATAAATCAATAATTTTACTGATTTATCTTTTTAAATTTCACTTTAATATAATGTGTGATCAAATACAGGGATAATCGTTAATAAATTTAAAGTTTAAGCTAAATTTAAATATTATTAGATGGTGTAAATCTGGCTTTGAAAATAAATTAGGTTATGTTGCTATAAATAAATATGTCAGCCTGATATTATTTTCATTTTCAAATGCAGGATACTTTTTTCAAATGTAGGTGAGTAAATTGTATTAATTAAGTAGAAGTTAGATTTAACTATAGGGAGGTTCTTAAGAAAATCATTAACTTCTGATTCATTTAAATTTTAATTGCAGAAGTATTTTTCTCACAAAACTAACAAGAAATTTTATATTTTTCCTGCTATTATTACTCTTAGTCTTAGAGATAAATGGATCCACATTTTAACATTTGTGGTCAAAAAAATGAAAGGAGTTGTGAGCGAAATGTGTGAAGCCAATTTACAAACAAATATTGTAGAACCCGAGATAGAACCTCATCCTAGTTTTACTCATAAAGACCAAAAAAGGCGAATGATTTGTGCTCAAAAAGTTATTGTTCAATTTTGGGGTGATATTCATTATTATATTTATCAAATAATACCCAAATATGTTCAACAACTTATATGCTATTTAGACCAACTTGTTAATTTTTGCATAGTTCACCTATTTAGATCATAAATCAGATGTTTTCTATTTTTATTGAAATTTTTATACCTTTTATTGCAAGAAAAATGTAAGAAAGTAAAAAAAGTTATGACTCGTGTTAATTTTTAATTTTAAGATACACACTGCACCTTTATTTTTGTTTTAGATATTCCTGGGTATGGAGATTTTTGGAATGTGCATAAATGTGTTTCTTAATTAGGGCGAGTTTCAAAGCCCACCTGTATTGAAGCTTATTGTACCCGAAATAGACATTACAACTATTCTAGATTGAAATAGGTGGGAAAAAGCCTTAAAGGGACAATAAGTATAAGAATATTAGAATTAGAATGATTTGTCCTTGGATTAATAAGGGATATTTAAAACATTAAAACAATTATTTTTATAATTTAACTACTTTGACTTTTTATAAAAACTATATCCCGTTTTTTAATAATAAAAACATTTTCATGTGCTATGCTGGTTATCATATTATATGTTTATTTTTCAGTAATTTAGTGTGTGATATAGTGCTTGTTATGTTCAAAATATGCAGTTAGAAGATAATGAGACACATGTAATTATATGGTAATTCTAAATAAATTAAACTTGTTAAAAATGTGTTTAATTTTTCAAATAATTTTATTTTTCAGTTAAAAAAAGTGACATTTTCCATTTTTCAACATTTACCTACAACAAAAATTCACTAAACTTATTGTTTGTTTAGTAGTTGTAAGTAAAAGTTGTCAAATAGGAAAATGTTACTTCAAATTGCTTCAAATATCTAAATTATCAAGCCCCCCAATTTTTAAATCGCGTTAATTAGTAGTGTTCTACTTTATCGACAGAAACTGACAGGTATAGTTCAACCGTAAGCGCTTAGCGCGCTACTGTCGAGGTCAAGCAAACTTGTTACCAACTATTTACATGGAATCCGACCCCCGTGTGTAGAACTATTAAACGAATATAATAATTGTATATTTATTTTATCAGAAACATGAAATCCACCTATATTATAATGTTTATTTACATCAATAAATTAAAAAAAAAAGTTTCAAAATATACAGTGTGTCAATAAACATGTGACGACCACATAAGCGAACTTGTATGTGGCATGGATATTTTTTTTATAGAATATTAACGCCTCCTTAGATATCTTACACTCCACAAGGAAAGCCCTGTACGTGACTCTATTTTTGGCTGGCTGATTAGTTATTTATTTTAATTGCATGCATTATTAAATAATAAAATACATTTATTTCTTATATACTAAAAAGGAAAAAAAATGTTACGGGTTGAACCGAAAGTTGTGGTTACAAACAATAGCACATTAACAAAAAAAAAATATATATACATATCTACTTATTCCCAAAAGGAAATAGAAATTTTTTTGTTTATGTTACAGGTTAAGCAGGAAGCTAGGGATATAAGTAATAGTTTTCAATCATTTGGTGTATATCGTTCCTTGACTGTGAATGAATCCAATTTCTAACTAATTTTTTGAACAAGTATTTCGAGTTCACGTTTTTTATTTCACCAGGTAATCTGTTTGGATTAAAGGACATTCGGGAATAAAAGGCAACGAAATAGCAGACAACTTAGCTAAATCATCCCATTTGTCTGGAGATGTATTATCTGCAAACTGTATCCCACATTCAGACTTAAAATCATTATTTAAAGAAAAAATTATAACTGATTGGCAAGAAAAATATGATAACACGTTAACTGGTTTAAACTTTAAAAATTATCACAAACAAATTCCAAGATTAAGATGGTTCCATTTTTTAACCAACAGGCACTTTGTAATAACTATAAACAGAGCAAGATCAGATCATGCATTAACTCCATCCTATAAATACAAAATAGGCATTGCTGAAAATCCATACTGTTTATGTGGAGAATACGGAAATTTGGAACATACGTTACTGGAATGTCCACTAAACTGGGAGAGCCTAAATACCTTTTATAATAAACTAACAAAAAATGGGCAAATTTTACCAATTAATTTTAATTGTATTAGATTTACTAACAATACTAGTATATTATTTTGTACTTACCAACACATCAAAAGATGTAATATAAAATTGTAAATAATACTAACGACAGTTTGTAAGCAACCTTGCGATTATCACAAAAATTGTACGTGCATTGAAAAAACAGAACAAAAAAAAAAATACAAAAAAAAAATTAATTACAAAAAATATATAATATAATACAACAACAAAAATAAAAATAAAACAGAAAAATTTATATAAGCACACATACCTAATACTAACAATAGAGATACTAACAAATATTTGTGTATTTGTAGATTTGAAACAATATTGTGTATTCGTGGAACAGGTACAAAAGTCTGGCTAATTGGTTCCTACTACAGCCATTTAACTAATTAAAAAAAAAAAAATCTGTTACAGATTTTTGGGCCAATATACCAGAAACTGCATTGAGTATTTGATTTTTTCACCTTAGGTAGGTACGTTTGATTTATTTTTAACCGAGTATTATACTTATG